ATTAATTAACCCCTTCTGCCCCAGGGGAGGGGGTGAATTAACCCCTTGTGCCCCGGGGGCATCAGAGCCTTGCCCCCCACTTTGCAGGGGTATTAATTAACCCCTTGTGCCCCGGGGGCGCGGGTCTGAATTAACCCCTTGTGCCCCCGGGGACATCAGAGCTCTGCCCGTGATCGGGAAGGGGTGCCAGGGACATGCCCCCTACCCGGCCTCCCCCCCGGCGGAGGCTCAATGGTCGCGTCTAGCTGCTCCCCCGCCATGGCCGCCCGCGTGGACTTCCGGCACTTCCGCGTTCGCCACCAGAAGCGGCCGCCCCGCTCCCCGGGCTGTAGCCAATAGGAGCAGAAAGCATCCCCCCCCCCGCCCGTGACTTTTCCCCCGTAGCAACGCGCCCCGAGCCCTTAGCAACGGGACCTCTCGCCCGTGGCTCCGAGTGCCGCCCCCCATTGGCCAGGCGGGGGGCGCCGGCCTGCTATTGGCTAGCCGGGGTGTCAGTCAAGGTGAAGAGACAGGTGAGGGGTGGGAGCGCCGGGGGGGTATTATCCCGCGGGGCAGAAAGGGTTAATTCAGCCCCCTGGGGGGCTGGGCTCTGATGCCCCCCCCCGGGAGAGAGGGTTAAGCACGGGGGGGGGGGAGCTCTAATGACCCCAGCGCAGAAAGGAGGGACAGGGTTAATTAATACCCGGGGGGGGCAGGGATCTGATACCCCTGGGGCAGAACGGATTAATTCATGCCTTTGGGGGGGTCTGATACCCCTCAGGAGAGAGGGGGATAATTAATACCCCGGGGGGGCTCTGATACCAGAAAGGGTTAATTAAAACCACTGGGGGGCTCTGATGTCCTCCCAGGAGAGAAAGGGTTAAGGACTTGGGGGGGAGGGGAGAGTTCTAATACCCCCCTGGGGCAGAAAGGATTCGTTAATACACCTGGGGGCTCTGATGCCTCCCAGGAGAGAAAGGGTTAATTAATAATGGGGTAGGGGGGCTCTGATACCCCTCAGGAGAGAGAGGGTTAATTAATCGCCGTCTGGAGCCCGGGGGAGGACAGCTGCAGTTGGACCTG